GTAACCAGATCTCAGGCACAGAAATCAGCATCTGAATACATGGTCTGTAGCACAACACGGAACTCATAATGTAGACAAGGCCTACCTCAGCCTCCCAAGACTGTGTGCCACCACACCTGGCTTTTATTATCACAGAGATGCCCCTGCCTCTGCCTCCTGAGTGCTGGGATTAAAGATGTGCACAACCACACCTAGCTCTGGCTTCCCTTATACTTGTCACCCAATCCCCCAGGACACATGGTACCATCACTGTTGTCTAACTTCTCCATGTCTCTAGGAAGGACAATGTCGAGAGGGTCCACTTGTTCACTAGTGACATGGGGGAGCTGCCGAGTGAGAAAGTACTTTTCTCCACAAAGCCCAGCATGCTTTCCCCCTTATAACTGTACTGCTCTAGCTGGTTTAACTACACCAACTATTGCTTCAAACTTGCCTCATCCCCTAAACTGAATTTAGCCTGTTTCTTCTTTTCCTCCCTCTCTGTCTCTAAGACAGGGTCTCCTTGTGTGTCTCAGGCTGGTCTGGAACTTTCTATGCAGCCCAGGCTGGCCTTGAATTCCCGATCTTCCTGCTTTAGCCTCTGAATGAGTCAACACTCCCAACTTTTGCTCTTTCCCTCTGTTATGCTTACAAAGAGGCTTTGCTGTGAGTTTATTGTTCTTTGTTTGCTTGGGGATTGGGTTTCTGGTGTGTGTGTATGTATGTATGTCTGCCTGCCTGTATTTGAGACAGTTCTCACAATATAGCCTAGGCTATATTGTGATCTTACTGTCCCCCGAGTGCTGGGATTAGAGTGATGTATCACCTCCAGCTAAAAAGCTTCTGAAGTCCTCCGCTGAGACTGAAGCCTGCAAAGGGACATCTTACTTCTTTTTTTGTGGTTGATATGTTATAAAGAAATGCGCATACACACACCTTTTTTTTTTTTTTTAACGCCCCACACAGCACCATGTGCAAATAGGTCAGACCTAAGAAAAGCTTTGATCATCTGACACTTTGGTTCAAATTTTGTTGCTGGTCATCACAATGGCGAGTGGGGACCGAATGTGTCAGAGCTGCACTCAGGGACTCCGCCAGCACACTGCTGGTGCTGCTAGGAGCGGCCGAGGAGTGCTCTAGCCATGGCTTTGATAAAAACAGCAACAGTGGGGCTAAAGAGATGGCTCGGCAGAATTCCAGCACCCTCACCGCAGCTCACAACTACCTGTACCTCCAGCTCCAGGGAATCTAGCATTCTCCTCTGGCCTGCACAGAGTGCAGGCAGGCAAAACATTCACATACATAAAATTAAAATGAAACAGCAGCTTCATCACATGCATCCTTAGGAAAGAACAGTACAAATGAGAAGGCACATGAGTAGTAGGCCAGACAGAGGACAAACGTTGGTGTGGCAGACACAGAGAGGATGGTAGTAAGAGACTAGGAATAACGTAGGGTTAAGAAGCCAGAACCATCTTTGGATTTTATTCTGAGTGACACGGAAATCAGAGGATACTAACACAATGTTTTATTTGCTTGTGTGGTTGGTTGATTGTTGTTTTTGTTTTTTTTTAATTTTTATTTTTTTATTATGTATACAATGTTGTATCTGCATGTACACCTACACACCAGAAGAGGGCACCAGATCTCACTATAGATGGTTGTGAGCCAGCATGTGGTTTTCTGGGAATTGAGCGTAGGACCTCTAGCGGAGCAGTCAGTGCTCTTAACCTCTGAGCCCTCTCTCCAGCCACGTTTTGGTTTTTCAAGATAGGGTTTCTCTGTATAGCCCTGGCTGTCCTAGAACTTGCTCTGTAGACCAGGCCTACCTCAGCCTCCCAAGACTGTGTGCCACCACACCTGGCTTTTATTATTATTTTAATTTATTTATTTTAATTTTATGTGCATTGATGTTTTGCCTGCATGCATGTCTGTATGAGGGTATTGAATCCCCTGGAACCAGAGCCACAGACAGTTGTGAGCTGCCATGTGGGTGCTGGGAATTGAACCCACATCCTCTGTAAAAAGCAGTCGTTGCTCTTAATCATTGAGCTGTCTTTCCAGTCCCCAATTTTTTTCAAAGAAATATTATTCTGTTGCTGTAGGGGACCAGTGCTAATAATGATTAATAATCCACCACATCATATTTGGTATGAAGGAGATTTATTGTGGGAAAGTGGGAGGGGGGAAAGAAAGAGGAGGGCACCTATGACAGACAGAAAGAGACAGAAAGACAGAGAGGACTAAGTGCACGAGATGGTGGGTGATTTTTTTGTTTTGTTTTGTTTTGTTTTGTTTTTCTTAAGTTGGGAATATATCTGGCAGCAGCAGGTGATGACATTAGAGGTTGCTAGGCAACCTAGAAACAGGCTATAGAAATAACATTCCTTGCTTTTTGTTTAATTTAAAAAATGAAGAAGTAGGGGTGGAGAGGTGGGAATGAGGACGTTGGACTGCTTCTCATGCTAGACAAGTTAAAGTATACAAAGTATATACAAGTATATAAATGGAAGCAGCACTTGGCTGCCATGCGGGGGGGGGGGGGACACACACCTAGAGAGACAGAGAGTACCAAAATGTCCGGAAAGTTCAGGGTAGAGGGCAGGGTATGCCAGCCATGCCCTGCAGCAGGTAAGGACCGAGGGATGCTGGGAGACCTGAAGCTGCTTGCCCAAGGTCAGAAGCACAACCAGAAAGTTGTTTAGTGGGTGTTATGGGTTGAATGGAATCCACCCCAAGATATTTTGAGATCATAAGCCCTAGTATCCATGAATGTTTCTGGAAATGAGGATCTTTGTCGTCTATAACAAGAACTATTTTTGATCGGATTTGCTAAGCCCCCCTTTGCTCCTAAATATCTAGCTGGGTTTTCTACCCCACTTCAGACTGTTTAGTTCCTGAATAAAAGACACAAAGACCTTTTAGATTTATAATAAGCCTTAAAGCACTAGAGCTTGGCAGATATCAACCCTCTAAGCTATTTTGCTATTTTCCAGCTACACACCCCATGTTACTTGCCATCATTTGTCTTGCGGGGCTGCTTCTGTTCCATCAGGCCAGCCCTCACGGCCACATGCTCATGGTCCATGAGGCCATGATGGTGCCTTCCTTCTCTCCAGCTTCCTCTCCTGCCATCTGAGTCCAAGCCCAGGAAGCAGAGCTCTACCTACTTTTCTTCTGCCCATCTATAGGCTGTCTAGCCTTTTTATTAACCAATTAACCTTAAATTGGGAGCAAGGTTTACACAGCATCACTTGGTGTGCCTGAAAATGCACTTTTCTGGGTAGCAACTTGACGTTGGGGGCAAGGGTTTAGAATTTGAATACATAGCACCAGACCAAGCCCCAACACCTGTCAATGATCAAATTAAGATGAGATCATTACCATGAGTCTTAAAGTTGGGTGAGCAATATTCTTCTAAGATAGAGAAAACACAGGGAGACTGCCCCACAGTAATGCATGGAAAGGAATAAAAGTGATGTAACTTCAAGAACTGAACAGGTAACTGGTAACTGAAATGTAAAAGGAAAGGAGGGGTTCTCCTGGAAGCCTTTAGTGTCAGAACAGTGCAGTATCAATTGTATTTCCAACTTAGAGGACTGCATGCCTCTGAGAATATGAGAATAGCTATGAATGGGACCTGGTGCAAACTCATAACTTAAAACTAACTTTTTTTTTCTTTCAATTCGATTGCAAAGTTCTCCAGCATGAACTTGGTAACAATTTGGTGTCTCAATGTCAAAGGTTGCACAGTCCTTCATGTCCAAAGTTCTAAAGAAAATTCCAGTTCCCCCAACTCAAAAGGCAGTCCAAATATCCAGAAATGAGCTCAGCCTGGAGGATTTCTGGGGCTTAGATAGAAGCCAGTGTTTCTAAGGAAGTTGTGAAGCCAGTTCTCCTCTACCAAAAGCAGCCATTTTCCTTACCTCCGGCAGAAGGGACATATGGCTATCTGTGGTGCGTATCGGCATATCAGAGCTCATGATGGTCTCCAGGCTCCTTCAGTATCACAAATACCTATTACACATTTCTAAGTCCGTGCTAGCCCTTCTCGCCCTCTACCCTAAACAACCAACAGCTCATAGGCTACCCTTCCCACACTTACTCATTCTCCTTAAGCCCCTGCTATTATCGCTATGCTCGGCTCCTGCTTCTCCTCCCTCACAGTCCTGGCTACGTCCAGTCTGCTGGCCGTGTTCAGACCACTTCCTTCTCTCTCTGCTCTGGACTCTTCCAGATGAGCCCGGCTGTTCTCTCTCTCACATCTACAATAAAACCTTCTGCTCAACCGTACCATGAGGAGGTCAAATCGACCAGTTTACACACTGAAGCCATCGGCTCGTGTCACTTTGCAGAAAACAACCCAGGGGGCCATTGTCATCACCCAGGCTTCGTACAGGATCGCAGTGCAGGTATGAAATGCATGGGTATGAAAGAGCTAAGTCTGGATGGCTTCCGGTGTGGGGTCTTGATCTGCAGTAATCACGGGGTTACCTATCTTATAACGAGATGACAAAGTCCGCGAGGAGTCGGGCCAGAAGTTGGTTTGAGAGATGCAAGGCTAGGGCCTGTAGACCTAGCTGTGGGACACACCGGGGACAGGAACATCAGCTCTTTGGCCAGCACAGGTGTCCGTCCGCAGCCAGGCTGCCAAGGAAGCTGACCTCTAAATGAATCCTGTCCCATAACACCCACGAACAAAACACCACAGAGCGAAAAGAACATGGGACCCTAAACCTCCACGGTTTTCCAGTGAGAAGCTACAGTACTTCATCTGGGGCCACGGGGTTGGGCGTGGGCCGAGAGCAAAGTGTGATTGGGGAGAGGTTGACTCCGGAGGCGGGACCAGTCCTAGTCAGGCGCACTCTTCCGGCAGCGCGCTGTGGCCGCCGGGAGCACAGCGGGAACACCCAATAGCCGTGGCTCAAAGACGCGGTGCGTGGGGACGACCCCCAGGAACCCAGAAGAAGGGCCAATGGCGGTGGCCCGGCGGCCGCGCGGGGGCAGCTGGGAACCCGGAAGTCCGCTGGACCGCCATGGGTGTACGCAGTGTGGCAATCCGCGCCTGCGGGCGAGGTAAGGTCGATACCGGCGTCCCGCGGATGGCTGTTCGCGCCTGTGGGGCGGCGGCAGCCGTGGTGGCGCTGCTCTCCGCCGCGATCGCGCTCCACTGGCCGCCGCTGCACGCAGGTACCGGCCCGGGCCGCTTCTGCGGGCGGGTGGCCCTGCCGGCTGGACTCCGCCTGGCGTGTGCGCGTCCTGCGATGGGGAGCCGGCCGGAGGGGCGGGCGTGGCTGAGGACTAGGCTCCAGTGAATTGTTGGAGGCCTGAGCTAGAAGTCCGTGAGACGCGAGCCGTTCGGCGTACACACGCGTGATTGACTTGCCAGTCCTTGTGTGCTGGAGACAGGCAGCCCTACCTCAAAACTTGCAAGTTCTTGGAGGAGGTGGGTGGAGCCAGGAGGTGGCTCGCCCCCCCCCAACCCCCACGCTTGGGGAGTGTGTTCTGGTGGGCCAAGTCAAGTGACTTTCAGGATTTGGAGCCCCATTTAGCCCTTTTTTTTTTTTTTTTTTTTTTTTTTTTTTTAAGTTTCTCTTGTAACCTTGGCCAGCAGCCTGGAACTCACTTTGTAGAGCAGCCAGTGACATCTAAGACCCCGTCCCAACAGTTGGAATGGGAGGTAGATGCCTTTTCAGATTGGACAGAGGAAGAGCTCAGGGATTGGGTAAACGGTTCATGTGTTTCCCTTATCTCCTTGTATGGGTTTGTTTCTTCTGTTTATGGATAGATACTTTTCTAACATCCCCAGCACAACATCCCACTTAGAAGGCAGGGAGAGCTGTTGTCTATCTTTGTGTAGACTCTAAATAGAGCCTCTGAAGTGACTTCCGCAGCATTCCCCAGGGGTAAGCAGCTGAAATGCTGAAGTGCACTGTTTGTTGTAGGATTCATTAGGAAGGTTTGACTACGGACCACAAACATGTTGACTGTAGTCCAGGAGTAAAATGTGTAGACATTTTGGCTTTGTTTTTCAATTGAAGTAGTTCTGAATTCCCTGGAGAGGTGCCTCCACGTCGGCAATGCCTGTCCCACCCAGAAGGCTTCTAAGCACCACTTTATTTAGAGACCATTTCTTGGTAACTGCCTAACATTTTCAGACACTCCGCTTAGTAATGTGCTTTTCTTGGTGCTTACCTGAGGTTTCAGTACTAGATTGACTTTCTAAACTTTTGCCAAAGAGCAGGTGGAGTTCTGAGCGTTAGATCCTTAAAGCTGTCTGTGCTTGGGGTGAATCTCACTTAGTGTAAGAATTGCTGTCGTAGGCTCCCACTTAGAATGCACATTCACTTAGGGCACAAAAAGGCATGGTTGTCTGTCTCAGCCACAGTTTCTTTAAAGCCAACAAAATGCAAACAGGCTTGGCCTGTTTTTCCAGGCTCTGTCAACAAAGTCACTTATGTAAACAGCGTTTACGTTTTAGGTGGCTTCTTAATACTTCCTGGATAAATCCGGCAGGAGTGGCAGCAAGCCAACTAAAACTTGATCCAGTAAAGGGTTGGGAAATCTAATCGACCTTCCTCAGGCCTTTTTCTAACAGGTTTCTGTCTTGATGTAACGACCCTGGCTCTTCTGCTTTGTATTCAAGTTATCCTAGTGGCGTCCCATTGTGGAACCGGTTTATAGTCACAGAACAAAAGACAGACCAACAAATTCTGCAGTGACAGCAAAGCAGGAAAATGTGTGTTGGTCTCAGGTGTCAGCTTGTATTCTTAGCTTGTCCCTGCTTTTGGGGTGTAGACTTCTAGCTTGCTGTCTGTGATGAATAGCATGACTAAAAGCTTGTGGAGAAAAGGTTTATTTCATCTTAAATTTTCAAGACACAGTAATCTTTAAGGGGAGTCAGGCAGGAATGAACCAGAGGCGGTGGAGGAACTCCCTTTACTACTCAGCCTGCTTTCTTTTACCACCTGATATCACCTGCCCAATGGTGTCAGTGCTTACAGTCAAATCTCACATCAATCAGAATTCAAGGCAGTTTCCCCAGACAGGGCCGTAGGCTACTGGATCTGCGTTATCCTTCAGTTGAGACTCCCTGTTCCCGGGTGACTTTGCTGTGCAGAAGATAACCAGAACTGAGGTCTGTGGACTTTGTGATACCATGTGGGAAGTTTGCTTAACACAAGAATGTTAGGCCACAGACAGAAGTTAAAACAAGTAAATAGTAAGTCCCTAAAATAGCCTGGGATAATTTGGCTCTTGTCTTACAGTGTTCCATCTCTCCACAATTGAGGCGTTCTGGTCAGCTCACTCGCATGTAGAAACATCGTGTGGTAGATACGCCTGCTTCAGAGGACTGGGGCAGACTCAGGCGAGGGCCGTGCTGATTGGGGGTTGGGATTTTATTTGGCATTCATACAGTTCTAGTTAAAAACGGAACATGCTGTACTTCCTGACAGATTGTAGAGAACAGCTGAGAAAGGTTTGCCTCTTTTGGTTAAACAGGTGAATCATTTGGTTAAAGAACAAATTTTTTTGCCTTCAGGTGGCCACATTTGGTAAAATGGTGTAATGGAACACATTGAGTTCGTGTCTTTGTGAGTGCTGAGTCAGAAAGCACAGCTGGGAGGTAAGAGATTGGAGAAAGGACCCAACTGGAGTTTTTCCTAGAGCAGTGCCCTCTCTAAGTGCGAGGGGAAAGATTCCACTGGGGGAGAAAATTCCTCTTCCTGCAGGAAAGTGCTGCAGGGGCAAGAGTTTAAACATCCTAGTTTAAGGTGTACTTTTAGGTTATTCAAGAAGGAAAGATGCTAGATGTGTTTCTGTGCTGCTTAGCGAAGGTAAGAGAGTCCTTAATCAGAGGATGAAGATGATAGATGCAAACCTTTCTTGCTGTACTCAGTTGGGGCTCATAAACGTGGTAGACAGAACGTTTCTGGGCCTGCTCAATGAGTCATTACTTTAGCTGTCTAAAAGAACGGTCATAGTGACTTAGTGACCCGGTTGCCCCTACAAGTTTCTTCTAGTATTAACGCAAACAGAAGGAACAATTCTAAAGGGACAAAAATGGAGGCATTTGCTCCAGAGGTGCCAGCTTTGCCTAGCAGCTGGCCATAGTATCTTAACACCTCTGAGGCCTGTCTCCTCATCTGTAAGTAGATGGTCATTAACTGTTAATGAGCAGTGTCATGTTCAGCCTGGCACATCGTTCTCAACCACGATTGGGACAACATGCTTTTGCCCCGAGTAATAGGAGAGGCTTTTAGGAGAAGGGTTTCTTCCCCGGTGTGGGCAGGTTTCAGATGCGTGAGGAGTGGCTGAGGGGAAGAGCAGTGTTCGCCCTTGGGACAGACACAAGCTGGCTTCTCAGCTGTCTCTCCCACTGCAGAGGACTTTGAGTCCTGTGCAGGTGATATAGTTACACTGATGTTTTCATTAAGTGTGTCCCGGGAGCCAGGAGAGGGCTTGCGCTGTCCTTTGTGGTAAAGACAGGACAGGCCGGGCGTGCTGGTGGCAGGTAGGGTGCCGAGGAGAGGCAAGAATGAGCAGCTCGGTCTGGGTGGGAGGGACCGCTTGGGTCAGAATGTGGCTCTCGATGACGGGCACAGAGAGCAGAAGCAAGCCTTTCTCTGCCAGAAGTTCCCTGTGGACCAGGTCCCATTTTCATATTGTGTGGGCTTGGACGTTGGTAAAGGAGGTTGGGTTGGTGTTAATCAGTACTGTCTACATTTGGGGCTGTATGTGTTCTTGTGAAGTCAGATCCCGCAGTCCAGAAAGCGCCTGAAGTGCTTACCAATAAGATAGAGACCGGTGCTAGCCCCAGCCCCTATGAAACATCAGGCATGGCGCATGTGTGTGTGATCCTGGTGCTGGGAGGGCCCACAGGAGGGGCCCTGGGGCTCATTGGCCAGCCAGTTGAGCATAATCGGCAAGGCCCAGGGCCTAATGAGAGACCCTGGCTCAAAAAGTAGGGTGGGGCTGGGCAACGGCACAGTGAAGGGATTGCTGCTCAGGCTTGGGGACCTGTGCTGGGGAGGCGCGTGCCGGCAGATCCTGGACTTCCTGTGCATCCAGTTTAGCCAAAAGGAACAGCTGTGGGCTCAGAAAGATCCTGGCTCAAAAAGTAAGGTGGGGGAGTGGCTGAGGAGAACACCCCACATTGGCCTGTGGCCTCCATAAACCTACAGTTCACATGTGCACACTTGTTTACACACACACAAAGGGGAAAAGAACAAGATGGACAGCTCCTGAAGAACAGTTCCAGGATTGACCTTTGGCCTTCACGTGCATACACATACCCCACCTCACCCACACCCCCATGGAAAACAGTGCAACATTTTATTGAGTAAACCTTAAGGAAAATGAGGCTGGAAGAGCCTGAAATGGCTTTCCCAAGGAGCTGAGGGAGCTTCATCCTCAGTGGCTTTTCTAGGAGAGTGCTCCGTTTATGTTTATGTTTGCAGAGATCCTTAAGTTCTATAGACTCTCTAGATAGTGTGCACAGACACAAGCTTTATGATTCTAGGGAGTGTATGCTTTGGGCTCTGTGGAGTATACAGCGGAGCTGATGTCAGTGTCCAGACAGAGCACACATCGACAGGATGCTTTTCAAGAAAGGCCAATTAAGATGGAGGTAATTAGACAGGACCAACGTGGTGCGGTAAGCCACAGTGCCACCTTGAACCTGACTTACATGGTCCTGCACGTTTAATTAGTAGCTAGCTGTTGCCATTGGGAATAATGGGATGGGTCTGTCAGACTTCTGAGCAGCACTGAGGGCTGCAAATGGGAGCTTGCTTTCCCAGGTGTGCAGAGAGGGCCCTCGCAGGCCTGAAAGGCTGGCATTGAAATGAAAGAACAGAATGTGTTCAGTGATGATCTGTATTTTTAGGGTGATAAAACCTTCTGGAAGATGAAGTGTGTGTCCTGTTGTCTCCTGTTGTGACAGACAGCGGGGGTGTCTGTCCAGTGTGCTGCTGTTTATGCTGTCATTTCTGACCATCACTTACCCTAAGAACCGAGAGCGAAACCGCTGATAAAGTGGAGAGGTCATACGCTCAGCTTTGGGAAGCGTGTGGATGGTGGGCTACTGTGAGTCTCCAGTGACTTTGTCTCTGTTCTGCAGCGCTACACAGAGCATTCTCCCTCCGTGCAGCACACTCGACAGAGGACATGGAAAACCTTTCTCAGCTGGTGAGAAACATTGTGCCTGCTCTAACGTCGAAGAAGCACAAGGGGCAGGATGGAAGAATAGGCATAGTTGGGGGCTGCCAAGAGTGAGTACCCCTCCTGCCTGCCTGCCTGCATCTGCCATCTGTCTGCCCACCTCCCTGCCCCCATCTGTCCGTCCATCCACCCTCCATCCGTCTGTCAGGATGCAGTGACCATTTTCAAATGCAGTCTGATAGCGTGCGAAGTCCTTCTCATTGGTCATGCCCAGCCAACTGGCTTGCTGCTAAGTGTTGGTGTTGATGTCATGCTGTGGATCCCCGAATCCTAACGCCGTGCAGAGGAAGGGCTGCAAGCTCCCATGGGCCTGGGCAACCTTTTAGAGGTTTTTGCACGTTACTTTGGTTATTGCATGCTGTGCTGTTTCTGTCATGAGCATGAGCGCTCAGCAGCCCCTGGGGTGCCACACACGTTGAAGGCGTTTCTGCGTTGCTTACTGTGTCCTGTAGACCGTAGTTTTGTTGGGACCCATTTTACCTTCTTTCTTTATACTTTGTGGCTGTGTGTAGTGTGTAAGGACCTGTAATCTGTCCTTGCCTGTGAGTTCTGCCTCTGGCCCCGTTCCTCCTGGTTCCTATTGAGAGTCTGCTTGCTCTCTGCCTACACCCGGGTCACTCCCCTCCAAACCTGTAGCTTCATCACTTGAGACAGTTTCCCATGGGGCTGGCCTCAAAACTCGAAATCCTGTGTCTCATGCTCCCAGACGCAGGGGTACAGGTGTGCCCCATTCAGCCTTGCTATTTACTCGTCATCTCGCCCGGGTTTCCCTTTTTCCTTCCCACCTTTCTCAGCTTTTCCTTTGATTACTTTGGAATGTCTTCCTACTCGGAAATTCAGCCAGCGCTCACCTTTTCCCCCCGTACTGTGCTTCACAGATTTCACAGCAGCTGGTGAGGGCAGTGGTGACAGAACCGCCACGTGGTTCCAGCCACAGGCTCTGCTTTTCCCTCTGAATGTTCATTCCTAATTGGATTCAGAATTTCCAGCTGAACTCTTAGCTGGTAAATTTAGTTGCATGTATTGTGGATTCTGTTGTGTTTACTCTCCTGGCTTCCTCCATACTCTGTCGGTAGGTGGGAATGCTTTGGCAGGTGAGCCTCCCTGCAGGTTCCCCGATGTACTGTGTTGGCGACCAGCCGGCTGTGGGCTGCCTGGGCCTCAGTTGTAGCGCCTGCTGTGCTAATCTAGAGATCATGCCTTCTGTGCACACAGTCAGTGTGCATTTTAAGTACCGTCGTCTTGTGCTGTACTCATCCGAGTCATCTGCCCTAGAATCCTGCCATTTCTCCAGGGTAGGTGTATGTGGTTTTGGTTGTGGTATGTTCCATTAATCCTGCTTAAGGCTGCCCTCATGTGTGGGCCTCTGATACCATCTCAGCTTGTTTGCACCCCAGTGGCTTCCATGTACTATTCGAGCTCTGTGGGCCTAGGCAGCTTCTGCTGCGTTGAGTGTCTTGTGAAGCACATCTGTCTGTGGAGAAGGAGAGTGTGTGGTTCCTTCTCTGCTGATCTGGACCCACACTGCTGACTGCTGTGGATGCCCAGCTCACATGGAGACTAGGCCATGTGTGCTCAGCATTTGTCCCTGGACATACAGTGGCAGTGAGCACAGTCTCTCCATCCTTGAATACCCTGCCAGGGATGTCTGCTGTGCTTAGAGATTGCCATGGCCAGAAGAGCACAGGCAGGAAGCTGGGGCACACACAGCAGGCTGCGGTGGCTAGTGTGGCTCCTGCTAATGTCCCTCATAGAAGACATGGTGCTCCCTCTCTGCAGACCTAGTATCTGCTGGCTGCCCTGAGCAGGTGGTTCTCTCCATCTTCTCCCCCCAGAAGCCTGCAGCCAGCTTGCTCTTTCTTGTCCTTGGGACAGAGACCTCAGTCACGCAAGCCAGTGTTGGAGAATGATCACAGATGCCACGTGAAGTTTTTCTAGTTCTGACTCGTGTGTGAGTGTTTACTGAGTATCTCCTGTGTGTTGAGTTTGTGTTTTGGGCCTGGAGTCTGTATCACTTGTTGATAATTCCTATCTATTCATATTGTTCTTACCTGTTCGTATTGGTAACCTAGTACTGGCAAATGTGTTTGCTTCACTGAGGGGTTGACTCCAGTGTTTCCATTTTAGGTACACAGGTGCACCATATTTTGCAGGAATCTCAGCTCTGAAAGTGGTGAGTCTACCTCAGAGTCTTGCATTGGGACTTTTCTGATTAAAAGCTGGTTATTTAGGGACCTGGGGAGTCGGTTCTGCAGACATGAGGGCCTGAGGTCACATTCCAGAACGTGTAGAAAAACCCTGGCGTGGCCACACTTGCCTATGCCCCAGCCCTGCTGAGAGCAGAGACGGGAGGGTTTTCTGGCCACCAGCCCAGCTCCGGGTTCCCTGAGAGAGCCTGCCTCCGGGGAGACAGGTGAGTGCAGGGACACCTGATGCCTCCTTGGGCCTCTGGCCTACACACCCAAACATGCTATACCACATGTGCCCATAACACACAGTCACACACACACATACATGCGCACACACACACACACACACACACACACACACACACACACACACAGTTTATATAGGACTAAAGCGAATGTCCTGTGTTAGCAATACAGGAGTGACATTGTAGGGAAATTGTGTGACCTAGAGAAGCAGTTAAAGCTCCTTTGGCCTTGTCTGCAGTAGCAGGTGACCTGCAGCACGGTGGGGTTGTTTGGGGTTGGGGTTTACTTTTGTACTTGGAGACAATGTCTCTTCATGTTAGCCAAGCTGGCCACAAACTCAGAAACCCTCCTGCCTCTACCTCCCCAGTGATGGGCTTCAAGGCATTCACCTCCATGCCTGATTGGTTTTGTTTGTTTGTTTTTTTGTTTTGTATGAGTTTGTTTTTGTTTTCATCTCCTCTATTTGCCTTTAAAAACAGCATGTCATTGCTTTGGGATTCACAACTGAGGTATAGCTCGCACTTTACTTTGCCAGGAGGATCCTGGGAGGCTCGTTAGGTTGTGTTGTACACAGTTGATGCCTTTAATCTGGCTGAGCAGTTAGGATGAAGTGGCTTATGTTGGGCAGGCTGACAGACAAGGCAGAGCTGGTGCCATGGCTTTGTCCCAAAGCCTGGGAGGGGATAGCAGTCTGTTGTGACACCAAGCATTTTCATATGCCACCTTCCCTTTCCCAAAGCCACTGGCTGTCTGCTTTCATCTGTAGTTGGACTTGGGGGATAAACAGTAACAGGTGGCGTGAGAGCTGGCATGCAAACCTGCTGTGGTCCTTCTCTAAGCCCACCTCTCATTCTCAGGGTGCAGATCTGGCCCATGTGTTCTGTGCCAGGGAGGCCGCGCCAGTGATAAAGTCCTACAGCCCGGAGCTGATCGTCCACCCAGTCCTGTGAGTCTTTACCTGCAACAGTGCTCTCACGCGTGTGCCTGCTGTGCTCTGACTGCTCTGTGTACTAAAGCCAGGCCTGTGGCACACGCCTGTCACCCAGAGACTTAGGACTAGGCCAAGGGCTTTCCAATTGGAGGCCAATTTGGATAACTAACAACCCTATCTCAGAAGAAACTTTTAAAGGGTTTAGAATGGAGCCCATGAAGTAGAGGTTTGATCCCCAGACCACATGACTGAAAGAAAACCATAGTTTTCTCCACTGCATCAGCAGAGACAGGGAAAGGGCCAGCAGAGAGACCTGGGGCACGGGGAAGTAGTGGATGCTGTGCTGTCTGTGGAAGACTCAGTCCCATCGTCATTTGGGGCCTGTGTGGGCAGGGTTGTCTGAGGCACATGCTCACAATGCTTGGGGTTCCGTGGGGTTCAGGGGGGAGCTCTGAGCTGAGCAGTGTCTGTTCCAGAGCTCCTAAGGCTTCAGTGGTGACAGTGCCCACATGTCACCCTGTGCACCGAGCACCACAGCACCCCTGAGGAGCTCAGGATCGAGTTTGTTTTGTCCCGCTTTAACCACCATACAAATAAAGTGGGGGCTAGAGAGATGCTCAGCAGATGAGAGCACCGGCTGCTCTTGCAGAGCACGCAGGTTCAGGTCCAGGCACCCCAGGGCAGCTCACAGCCATCTCTAACTCTAGCTTCAGGGGTGTTGATGCCCTCCTCTAACCTCTGCGGAGACAGGGTACACGTGTAGTGCACGCAGGAAAAAGTGCAGTAAAGTAAAGCAGCCTTGAAAAGCTAAGACAGAAAGAAGCCAGCACATGGAGAGGACTGAAGGGATGCAGGTCAGGTGCAGGTGGGGTCCAGACTGCATCCTGGGAGAGGTCAGGGTTCTTCGTCAGGCGCCCAGCTGCCAGTCTGCACTGAATCCCCGGTGCTGAGCCAGCCCTCGATTGTGTTCTGGAATGGGAGTGTGCAGGATGCTCTCGTGAACAGTGGCTAGGGAACCACCGCGCGGCGTCTGTGCTAGTGTACGGGTTCCCACAGGCCCACGTTGTTTTCAGAATAAAGTGGTTTAGGGCAGAGACGTAGACTGGCACAGGGCACTTCCCTAGCATGCTCAGGACATGTACAGTGCCCAGTACCACACACATAAAGTGGTTTAAAATCAACAAATGAAAGCCTAAGAAAGCCATCTGCCTTTTTCTTTTTTCAGTGACAGTCCTAATGTTGTTGAGGAGGTGGAGAAATGGCTCCCCAGGCTGCATGCCCTTGTCGTGGGACCTGGCCTAGGTAGGGACGACCTTCTTCTCAACAACGTCAGGGTAAGTGGGCTCACTGTTAAGCACTCTCCCTCTCAGATACAACGGGGCGCAGGTGTGTCTTCGGTGCCTCAGGCTCGGGTGCACGCTGTTGTTAATCTTCGGAAGTAGGTGATGTGTTGTGGGCAGAGGGCAGGTGAGGCACCAGGAGTGGCGAGGGCCTTCCAGAACAGAGCAGATGGGATGAGTCTCTTTGCTCCAGGGGAGAGCATCAGGCCTGAGGTTTGGGCAGACTTGGCAGGAGGTCTGTGTGGTCTCTAGTGTGACCCTGCTTGCCAGAGGTCCTGGCTGTGGTTGAGTCTCTGTGCATCTGTGAATGCCGGAAGTTTCATGAGAGGAATTGAATTGTGGCTGTGGTGGGAGCAGGCAGCATGCTGTGGCTCCTGTAGTTCATATTGCAGCGTATCAGCCTTTCCTCCTTCCCAAATTGCACAGCATCCTGGTGGAAGTCGGTGCCCCAAAGGACAGTGTGTCTGGGCCTCTGTCTCTGCGGGAGCCTGTGCTTTCCCCAGTCTTGGAGTCGGGCTCTTGATTTGCAGAAGAGGCTGAGGCTGCAGGAGGCACCCTGTACATCAAAGGTCCGGCCTTCCTAACACTGTGACCCTTTGATACAGTTCCTCAGCTGCTGTTCACAAGCTGCTTTCCCACCCGGGTTATCCAGAATGTTGTCATCACCCACGTTTCTTCTGCAACTTATTCTGTGGGTCCTAGAGACGCTTTCCGGTGGTGGGGAGTGTCTATCTCTCACTTTTAAACTATTTTTAATAGCAGTATCAGGACAGTGGACTGTTAGGCTGTGCCTTATTGAGTGATACTGTATGTTCACATGCACGCCTTTGCAGGGTGCTGCTCTCAGTACTGTGACGCAGCCTTCTGAGAGAACTAAGCTCGCCCTGTGGCAAACCTTTCCAGTGTTTAGGTGTTAGCTGTGGCCTGCTACTCTGCCAGGGAAAACTAGAAGAGACCCTGGTGTCACATTGCCAGATACCGTGAAATCAGAAATGGACCTAAGATCTGAATTGCAGAACCCTGTGGGTTAACGTGAAGCTAGGCAGGCAGAACTTTGTTAAAGAAGGAATGGGCTTCTCTGAGCCCCGCGTCCCTGACCATGATAAGTGGTCCACGCTTGGACCACTTGGGCCAGTGCTAGACAAAATGTATGTTTCCTACCCTGGCACATTCCTTGGTGTGCTGACAGTTTTATGTCAGTTTGACACAAGCTCTAGAATCATGGAGAGGAGGGACCCCAAATTAAGAAAAACTCATTCAAAAGATGGGGTATTTTTCTAATTGGTGATTGATGTGGGAGGTCTAGCCCATTGTGGGTGGTGCCATCCCTGGGCTGGTCCTATAAGAAGGCAGGCTGAGGGGCTAGAGAGATGGCTCAGTGGTTAAGAACACTGGCTGCTCCGCCAGAGGTCTTGAGTTCAATTCCCAGTAACCACATGGTGGCTCACAACAATCTACAATAAGATCTGGTGCCCTCTTCTGGGGTACAGGTATATATGCAGACAGTGTATACATAATAAATAAATAAATTCTTATAGAAAAGCAAGGAGGAAGGAAGGGAGGGAGGAAGGGAGGAAGGGAGGAAGGAAGGCTGGCTGAGCAAGCCATTAGGAACAAGCCAGTAAGCAGCAGCCTCCATGGCCTCTGCATCAGCTCCTGCCCCAGGTTCCGCCTGACTTCCTTCAGTGATGGACTGTGATGTGGAGAGGCTGTTTTTAGTTCTATCTGTGTCTCCTCATAGCAGCAGTCACTCTGAGCAGGACACTCGGGAAACATGGACTGAGTGTCAGGCTCCGGTTACCTTTACTCTGTCCCCTCGTGTGTGCATGCTGCATGTGTGGATGTGTACACCACCCATGTGGGTGGAGGTCAGAGGTCAGCGTCCACCCTGTGGGTTGGGTTAGGCAGGAGGCACCTTTACTCTAAGGCATTTTACTACCCATCTGATTGCCACAGGTAGTTTTCTCATGACACGTTGGTGTATATATAAATGTACATGAATCAGTACATTTTAGATGGGAACTGTTGATGCTTTCAGCTTCAATGCAGGATTAAGGTATAGGTCTATCGGGAAAATTGCCACAGTGTTATGATCACTTGCTATTTTAAAGCATGTAAATAAAATGGTAAGAAAAGTGGATAACTGATGATTTCAAGAAGTCCCAAAAATTCCCCCTTTGAGCCCAGCGGTGTAGCATGGGCTAGACACTTGGCAGTGGTAGGTGGTCTTGGTAGCCAGTCTAGGTGCCGCGTGCTGGGCCTGCCCCTGCTGTTTAGTTTGCCTTCTGGTGACCCGTGACCGGCAGAAGCGCTGCCTACTCCTCTGCCTTCTCTTAAGGGGATGTAGATGTTCTGTGGGACCGTCCTCTGCAGGCTTACAGTGGGTAGGAAGACGTTGAGTGTGAGGTGAGAATGAAACTCAGCCCAATTGTATAGTGGCTGGTGCTGGACCAGGGCTTCTCAGAGCCTGAGCCAGATCATTTTACTGGAGCTGTGCACAGTTCTGGAAAAAAGTATTCAGATAACAACTCAGCCCACGTGCATAACTTCAGACATGCTTCCATTGAGATTACTGCAGGGTGCATCTGCTTCTTTCACAGGAATGAGTACTGTTGACTCAGAGACAGGGGCCATGAGGGAGGGTCTAGGGAGCTTGACTGAGGTGAACATAATGTTGTGGGTGTTAGGGTTGGCTTGGCCCTAAGATAACGGAGAAGTCACTTAGGCTGATGTAGAACACAGTGACATCACTCATAAGGGTGGGTTTCATGGCCTAAAAGCACTGCTCAAGATCTAGGGGAAAAGATCTGGAGTAAGTAAAGCATAAATTCTGGGAAATATTGTAGAGCCTGGCTATCAGACAGCAAGGGATCCGTACGTGAAACTACATCATTCCTGGCGTTCCAGAAGGGGCGGCTAAGCCCTCGTTGCGGAGCTAGGCAGGCTATGTGCTCAGCTTTCCATGCTCTGCAGTGCTGGCCTGCCTGCACACGCCTCTTGCCCTCTACGACATTCAGCTTGGCTGCTTTTCCGGCAGGGCATCTTGGAAGCAACCAAAGCCAGGGACCTCCCCATGGTCATCGACGCGGTGAGTGTGGCCTCTCATGACCCAAAAAGTCAGCACGGGGTCCCGGAGGCCCGCCGGTGAGGGTGCACCCTTGTTCTGCACAGGACGGCCTGTGGCTGATTGCTCAGCAGCCTGGCCTCATCCACGGTTACCAGAAGGCCATTCTCACCCCCAACCGTGTGGAGTTCAGCAGACTCTGGGAAGCTGTGGTGAGTTTGTGGGCTCCAGTGTTGTGCCCAGCTCAAGCCATGGCCTGTCTCTGCAGGGAGACTGACCTACAGATCACTGGGTGTTTGCTCTGCTAGCCACCGTGCATGCTTTTCATGCCTCCATGTGAATTTTATTGGGTGAATGGTGCTATGGAGGGCTTGAGACAGGGACTGCCTGCTGTGCTCGCCAAGTTGCTCAGTGTGTCCTGCAGTGCTCGTCAGCTGTGAGATAAAATGAAGCCATGAATCCTGGCAGCAGGTGTCCCGTAAGCCTGTGCTCTCTGTGGGGGAGAGGCGTGCACATCATCCTCATCAGATGTGCATTGTTCCCACAAACCTGGTCGAGCCACGTCTCGAGAGGAGGGCAAGCTGTAGAGTAAACATTGGTGTCAGTATCCCTCAGAGGGCTTGAGACCATGATGTCCTGGCCACTCTTTGCCCCTCAGCCCTTAACCAGTGCCCCTGGTTTCTATGGACATGAGCATCTGGGCTCTTGATGGAGCTGTGTACCCTGTGTATCCAGGAGGACTTGGTTATCTGTGCTTGTCCTGTGTTGTAGCTCAGTAGTCCTATGGACACCACGAATCACAGCGAGTCTGTACTGAAGCTCAGCCAGGCCCTGGGGAACATCACCCTGGTCCAGAAAGGAGAACACGACCTCATCTCCAATGGCCAGCAGGGTGAGTGGGGACTTTGCACATCACTCAGAGGCCGTGCCGGCCAGAGCCTGGAAGCCTCTCAGACATTCACGTCTGTTGATACACATTAAACATGCCAGCTGTGGCTTTAAAGTCCGTCTGTTCACTCCTAAAGGTTTGCGCGGGGCTCTGGTGACACCAGACATGTTTTAGGCTTCGCAAGTGTCATAGGCCTTGCACTTTGCTGATTTGAAACCATTCATACACACGCACTTACACACCTTTTATCATAGTCCTCGGGAAGCAGAGGCAGGTGGATCTCTGTGTTTGAGGTCTTGTCTACATAGTGAATTCCAGGACAGCTATAGCTACAAAGTGGGGTCCTGTCTTCAAAAGACAAAAACAGAAACAAAGTACACAACCATTTTTAGGAGGCACATTTAAACCAGAGATGCCGCATAGTCCGAGGCCACTATCCTTAGCCTGTCACCTCTCTTTCACCAAGACACCCACACATAATAACAGTCATTTGAAAGTCTTTTGTTGCATTTTGTCTTATTATAACTGGAAAGTGAAGGAAACCTCAGCACTGACATTAGCTAAAAATGTCAGTTGCCTTCCCCCAAGAGCTTAAGGCTGCTCAGCTAAGAGCAGAGCGGAGGCGGGGGGGAGTGTGTGGGTGTCCCTAGTACGTCTGCCACTCTGCGCTCGGAGGTGCCAGGCCGCTATACTAGTCAGTACCAGCAGCTGTCAGTGAGGGATGGAGTTGACAGGGACCCGAGTTTAGAGTTCTTAGAACCCCGAGGGACATGTGACCGTGCAAGTGAACCCACACATATCCACCGTAGCCAGGACAGGAAGTGAGCAGAATGTTCCAGGGCCCAGACCACAGCAAAGAGGCTTTCCTGATCCCAGCACATGCAAAGGCAGCACCAGTTCTCAAAACATTTCCCAAAGAAACACATTTTCATGTGCAAGGGTAACAGTAGTTAACGGTCCATGATGGGTGCTGAGGAATGCTACTGGGACCTTGGAGGCGGGTGTGGAGATGGCGTTTGGGCTGGGCTTGAGACCTGAGGCTGAGGATGTGCCCTGGGCTGACCGCTCTTCTCGGGAGCAGCTCATGCTGATGGCTGCTGATGCCTGCTCATGTCTGTTCTGTGCAGTGCTCGTGTGCAGCCAGGAAGGCAGCAGCCGCAGGTGCGGTGGGCAAGGAGACCTGCTGTCAGGTTCCCTGGGCGTCATGGTACACTGGGCTCTCCTTGCTGGGCCCGAGAAAACAAACAGGTATGACGGCACATCTTTGTCACTGTCAGCTCCCCAGCAGCGCGAGCATTGAGTCTCATTTCCCAAGTGGACTACCAGGGCTCCACGGGAGACATCTGGAGCCAGGTTCCCCTGCCCACACATGCTGGCCCCAAACCTAGCAGTTGAGGGTGGACCCTGGCACTGGGGGAAAATCCAAGCAGCCATGCCTGGCTAAGGACACAATGTGGGGAACTCAGCAGGGATCAGCACACAAGCTGGAGGGTTGGGCCTCCTGACCCTCATCCTCAGAGCTATTTGATTCCCTAGAGCAGGAGGATGCTAAACTCACAGGAGATCCCCATACCTCTGACCTGTCCTATGGACCGTTATTGCCACACACACTGGGTATGGGATGCCCAGCTTCTGGAGCCCCACATGACCGCTCTGGTGCAAATGGTGTGTCAGTGGCCTTGAACTTTGCTGGGTTTGCAGGATAGTGGTCCAAAGGGAGGTTCTAGTTTGTCCTGTGTCCCAATCGGGGGTGTGCAATGGATTAGCAGGAATGCCTAGAGACCTCAGGTGTTCTGCCACACTCTAAGAAAAGGTGAGCTCCATTAAAGCCCACAGCACCAGCCAGCACCACACACAGGAGAAATGCTTCCCTTTGTTGGCTTCTGACCCCCTCCAGGGACGGGACCCAGGGCCTCCTAGTGTTCCTCAGGCCTGCGCTCTGCCAGTGAGCCATGCCCAGTCCTAGAGGATGTTGCCATGTGCCAGCGCTCACTGCAGTGATGCTGCCTGCTCAGAATCCCAGCTGGCTTGAGTTTGCTATTTGGGAGTTGAAGCTACAAACAGGGTGAAAAAATCAGAGCCCAGAGCCCTCACCAGTGGCCTACAGCAAGAAGGCGTTTGATTGTGCTCTTGTCTTGTAGTTCCAGCCCGCTCCTGGTGGCTGCCTGGGGTGCTTGCACACTCACAAGGGAATGTAACCATCAGGCCTTCCAGAAGTACGGGCGCTCCACCACCACTACGGACATGATCGCGGAGGTGGGAACTGCCTTCAGCAAGCTCTTCACGAACTGAGCCAGTGCACTGAGAGGCACCACAGACTGTCCTCCGCTTGCTGAGCCACGGGCCCAGCATCACTTGCTGTTGGCGGGGTCTTGGCCTAACCTGGCTGACAGGACTTAGGACATAGCCGTGTATTCTGACTAAATTAGACTCAAGATGTTATGACAATAATCTGGTCTTCTGTGATTTTCTTAGCTTCTCAGCAGCAGTTGAGAAAATGAGAATAAAATTCCTCCCAACAGCCCAATTGAATCTGGGCTTGCTCTGAGACAGGACATTTGGAGTCTGTGGTCGTTCTCTGCCTCACATGCCCTCCACTACTAGATGCCCCCTCACAGGGCTCCAGGTTTTGGGTGGCTGTGGTACATGGTTTGGTTTTTCACTGAGGCTCACAGGATGCCATGGACATTCTTGGGCCTTACAGTTCTCTGCTCCGTGTGTGGATGCTAATGAAGTAGCTGAGAATACTCAGTGAGTGCGCAGCAGAGCTTTTAGAGGCCTGTGGGAAGGACAGCAAACCTGTGCCACTGGCATTTGGGTGTGGTCCTCCTCTCTGTCTACTGAGCCTCCCTCCCTAGAGTGGCCTCTCAGCTATGTGCCTAGTCAGTAAGGGGTGCTCTATATGTCTCCTTGTGTCATCTAGTCCTCCGGCACAAGGCCAGTTAGCCATACCCTGGAACGTCAGCTGACGCTAACTTTCTGAAGGGAATGTTAAGAATGTGGCCGCATGGTACTGTCCAGTTAACTCTTCAGGCAGTTCTGAACACACAGCAGTGGGCAGACGGGCTTACTTTATTGTTGGCTAAATAGCCACAGTGGCAACTTTAATATAAAGTTTTCATCACAGAAGAGCAGAAGCCATGGCGTGGTGGCACTTAGGACTGCAGCTGCCCCATCAGCTTCCAGGTTTCTGGTGTTTGGTCCTTGGGTCCAGCAGTTCCCATGTGGAGGCTGTATTGCCTCTGTCCTGAAGGGGAAGGCTCTGAATAAGGCCACCTTCTGGTCCTCAGGGTGACAGGTCGGAAAGCAGTCAGAGGAAGCAGAAGGATGCCACAGGAGAGGGACAGCGCTACCCGGCAGGGCCAGCTCCTTGCCCACAGGGCGCATTTACAGATCTTCCAGCTCACACACCCTCCCTCTCACATCCCTTGCATCTGCCTCTGAGTGCGTCTTTCTGGGACACCGGACAGCTACCACCATCTTCCCTGTGCTGTCTCTGTGGCATTGGTGTCCCCCACATCTGCAATATTGCTCACCTTAACATTGATGCCATGGGTGGCGAGGTCCTGGCGCAGTGCATCACATGCCTCCAGCAAGGGCTGCCTCTCCTGGAGCTGCTGTCTCCGGGCCTCCCCAGTAGCCCCAGGCGTGGCCAGTGCATACTGGCGGACCTTCAGCCTGAAGCGCACTAGCTCATCGATGACACAGTGCAGAGCTGCTGAGCTGCTGTCTCCTGAAGCACACTGAGCCAGAAACACCACTAAACCAGTATGCCCAGCAAGCCAGGGACCCACCCACATCATGGGAGAGCACTCAGCTAGGTTCTGGGCTCAGGCCTGCGTATCCATGTCTTTATCAGCTTCCTAAAGCTGGCCCATCCTGGGGACGCTTGGGGGACAGGGACATGAACAAGGCTAGTTAGCAGGATCAGCTCTGAGCAAGAGTTCATTCCTTGGCTGGCTCAAGCTAAGCTAACACCACCTGCTTTGACGCTGTCTGGCCCTCAGTGATGCCTACAGGGTGTGACAGGTGTCAGCAAAGTCCTGTCATCTCAGGAGAGGCAGCCTCCCAAGCCTTAAGCACCAGTGAAGACAAGCCTTTTCTCCACAGCCAAGCATGTAAGGCAATGTGAATGTCAAATGGCCCACCCTGTGTGTATGCGTGTGTGCACACATGAAGAGGTCTGTCCAGCTGTACAAGCCCTGATGAGGGCACAAAGGACAGTCCCCTCTAAAGCAGAGAGCAGCTTCGTGTGGAAGCCAGCGAGGGAGCCTAGGAGGGGCTATGGAAGCCTGGACAGGGCTGCCATTGCTCTCCCTGAGAGGTGCAGCCTGGCCTCAGCAGCACCATGGCTCTTGGCCGGGGCCTTGTCCTTCCCGAGCAACCCTAAAGCTGGCAGGCATAGCAGAGTGAAGCGAGCGAGAAGCAAAGGGGCCCTAAGGGATTGGAACTCACAGGGGTGTCCATGACACAGAGGGGCCACCTCGAGAGAGGAGCTGACCAGGGCAGCTCCCGGGATCCACAGTCAGGTGTAGGAGGTGACTCGGAGATAGCCCTGTGCTCTCAGGTGCACCTCGCCTCCCTGCACTGAGACACTGACATGGACAGCTTACCCAGCTGACCAGTCTTGTGCCAGAGACTATAGTGACATCCAAAGGATGCTAGGACACATCTGGGGACACGGCCAGCCCTGTGGGTGCCATAAGCCCTGTGCTTAACTGAATTGGAATTGAACAGAGCCAGGAAACTTGTCTGTTCTGATGTGGCCCAAGCATCCAAGGCACCTCCCCACTGAGAAGGCAGGAGAGGACTGTGGAAGGACCTGGCAGCCTTGCCCTTTCTGTTGGATACACGCGAACATCACAGGAAGGGACAGGTGGATCAGGTGACCTGAGGACAGCCAGGTCAGGCCCCAGCATTCCTGCCAGGAGCACAGGGCCAACAGTCCACAGCTGGGGGGACAGGGCCTCCCATGTAACTGCTGACATCAAAGTCTGGGAAGGCAGCTGGACCCCGCACTCTGAAGGAAGCCAGAGAGCCTCCTGCAGAAACCAGCTGTGGGGAACAAACACCTTACTCGTGCCCACTGCCATTTCTTCCATGGGAATTGTCCTCACATGCACCTTCTGCACTCCAGTGTCAAAACACTGGCAGAATGGTGGCTGACTGCCCCTCGGGACAGGCTCCAACTCTGCTGAAGTTGGCCAGTAGTAGGGGTCAGCTAACAGGCACTGTGCACCTCCAGTGAGTAAGCAAGGGACCGGTCGCCTTTCTGCAAACACTTTCTAAAGGCCATGCCAGTGTGCATCATTCAGGCAGCTTTAGACCAGAGCATTTGAAAGAGATGGGTGTACCTGTCGATTTGCCAGAGAAATCCCAACCGTCTCAAAAAACTGCTCGACGTAGGAGATGATGGCACCAAACACGGTGGGACTTCTTGGGCCAGCAGCTTCCTGCGAGAGGATCGGTGTGAGGTCAGAGCACTTCTGCCTTGGCTTCTATGGGCTCTCACACAGCCAGGCTCACTGGCAAACCCTCTAGTCCAGCTATGCTGGTAACGTGTGCCTCAGCCTCGCACGCCATGGCTGCACCTGGCACACCTGGGTCCTACGGGCTAAGCGTGACCATGGGGTACAGTGTACGGGGCATGGTGACGGGAAGGTAATGGGGTCTCAGATCTGAGCAGCAAACAAGGGAATTCTGGAAAGTCTGGCATGTCAGTCACTGACAAAGACCCATGTGAGCCAAGCTCAGTGCTGCAATGGCAGGTGCCAGTCTGTTCCATAATCAGCTCCAGCTCATCTTCCCCCAGCGGGGACCAGGTGGCACAGGACTCAAGGAAGTGATGCTTGAAAGTCAAGGGGAGGCTGCCATTCAAGAACTCTAGAACCAGCCACAGCCAGCTTCCCGGAGGATGGCGGAATGGACACTGGTTGACCTCAGTGTGTGTGATGTCAGCCTGAACAAGCTGGGGCTGCCTGCTCAGCCCCTTGGTGACCATGTCGGGGACTCAGAGAAAGGTACCATGGTCTGCCTGGTGCCTTGTGTGGAAGTGGAGCCCCTTGTCAGGACTGTGGTACCAACTGTCACACTGGGAATCTACTCAAGAATCCAAACCTACATGTTCACCTGATGTCATCCTCCACAATGCTGCAGCGACCAAGAAAGGACCCAGCACTAGAGCCCTATGTCACCAAAGGAAAGAAAGGTCTCCATGCGCTCCCATCACATGGGGGTCCTGTGGCAGCACCCCAAAGAGCTTTGTGACCAGAGGGCCCAGTCTGAGCCCCCTTGGTGACTTCCTGACAGACACTGAGGTACAGCGGGATAAGCCCTAAGGAAAGGCTTACAATGTTCCTGCCAAGCCCTGCCCCCTCCCCCAGGAGCACGGGGAGCAGAGCGAACAGCCGAGGCGGCTCTCCCGTGGTGCACACTTAGATCCCAGAGCTGGATCCCCCTGGAGCTGCAGCAGCAGGTGGCCTGAGACCCAGTGGGGACTTGAGTCCAGGTTCCAAGAGACAGCTTCTCATTTTGGGGGGTGCTTTGTTTTTGGAGAGGGGCTGCAGACTGAAACCTGGGGTGCAGCACATGCTAGGCAAACACTTCACCAGTGAACTACCAACCCAACTTCCTGTTTGAACAAACACTGATCCTCCGTGTGCCGCCAGAACACCAGAAAGGTTCCTCAACACTCAGGACGGCAGCCATGCACCACAGCCATCCTTGCCAGGAGCACGGCCGACCCACCTGCTGCCCATGCGCATGTGCCCTGCTGAGGGAAGGGACCCAGTGTGCTGCAGACTGGGCTTGTGAAGTCCCACAGACGGGACAGCTTGCTGGGGGCTGCCCCAGTGCTGCCAGCTTTGGAAGGAGTCTAGATGGCTGGTGGAGTCAATGCCCACCCCTTCCCTAGGGTAGGCCTCCACCCTGGTGTCTGCAGCATCCGTCAAGTTACCTTTGGGACTGCCCTGAGCTGTCTGTTTGCGTGGTGCACAAGGTCCAGGATGGTGGTCACGGCCCTCGGCGTGTCAAAGTCATTGGCCAGTGCAGCCCTCACGGCCTTCTCAGTGCTGGCCAGCCTGGAGTGGGACATGGGGTCACCTACGATGATGAGGCGGGTAAGGGGCTCTCCAGCAGCCCCCTGGTGCCCCAGCCTGGCCTGGCACCAACCCTGGGTACACAAACATCCTTCCCTTAACTCGGGGACCCTCCCTCGGTCATGTTTACTGTTTTGTAACAGAATCTCACAGTTACCACCTTAGCCAAATAAAAAAATTCTCGAGGGAAGGGAACCTGCTCATTTGTTGAATGCACAGTATCCACTCGGGTGATTCTGGAATAGTCAACTGTAGTAGTGACGGTCCCCTCCCCAGCGGTGTGGCGGCTGACAGCCACTGGGACAAGATGGAACACAGCATGTGCAGGGCTCAGGGGGCCTGACACATGAAGGAGGGAAGGCTGCCCAGCATGCCTGCCTCCCTCAGGTACTCCTTCTTGGTGTCCTCTACGTTCTGGCCCTGTCCCGAGTGGCAGGGCAGGTCTGAGCTGCTTACCT